AAAAAAAAAGTATTTAAAACTTTTTAGCTTATCGATGGTCAAAATGAAACTGCAAAAAAAAGGGGAGAAGGTTCACTTTAAAGGATAAATTGTATGAGAGTTATTCAAGACGAATAAAAATTGCCACAAAAGTTTTTCCATCATTTTTCGCGGTGAGCAGAACTAGTGCGAAAACGAGTTTTCAAATATTTAATTTCTTCGGTTTCGGCTTCGGTTTCGGCCGAAAGTGAAAAGTTTAGTTTCGTTTTTTTTCGGTTTCGGCCGAAACTGAAAATTTAAGTTTCGGTTTATTTTCGGTTTAGGCCGAAAGTCATTTTTAATTTTCGGCCTGTTTTCGGTTTCGGCCGAAATCAGAAAATCACTTTCGGTCGGTCTCTACTAATTATGGAATGGTATCTAACAATAGAAAGGTATCTAACTATGGAATGGTATCTAACTATGGAATGGTATCTAACTATGGAATGGTATCTAACTATAGAAAGTTATCTAACTATGGAATGGTATCTAACTATGGAATGGTATCTAACTATGGAATGGTATCTAACTATAGAAAGGTATCTAACTATAGAAAGGTATCTAACTATAGAAAGGTATCTAACTATGGAATGATATCTAACTATGGAATGGTATCTAACTATGGAATGGTATCTAACTATGGAATGGTATCAAACTATGGAATGGTATCTAACAATAGAAAGGTATCTAACTATGGAATGGTATCTAACTATGAAATGGTATCTAACAATAGAAAGGTATCTAACTATGGAATGGTATCTAACTATGGAATGGTATCTAACAATAGAAAGGTATCTAACTATGGAATGGTATCTAACTATGGAATGGTATCTAACAATAGAAAGGTATCTAACTATGGAATGGTATCTAACAATAGAAATGTATCTAACTATGGAATGGTATCTAACTATAGAATGGTATCTAACTATTGAATGGTATCTAACTATGGAATGGTATCTAACAATAGAAAGGTATCTAACTATGGAATGGTATCTAACAATAGAAAGGTATCTAACTATGGAATGGTATCTAACAATAGAAAGGTATCTATCTATGGAATGGTATCTAAATATGGAATGGTATCTAACTATAGAATGGTATCTAACAATAGAAAGGTATCTAACTATAGAATGGTATCTATTAATAGAAAGGTATCTAACTATGGAATGGTATCTAACTATGGAATGGTATCTAACAATAGAAAGGTATCTAACTATGGAATGGTATCTAACAATAGAAAGGTATCTAACTATGGAATGGTATCTAGCTATAGAATGGTATCTAACTATGGAATGGTATCTAACTATGGAATGGTATCTAACAATAGAAAGGTATCTAACTATGGAATGGTATCTAACAATAGAAAGGTATCTAACTATAGAATGGTATCTAACAATAGAAAGGTATCTATCTATGGAATGGTATCTAAATATGGAATGGTATCTAACTATAGAATGGTATCTAACAATAGAAAGGTATCTAACTATAGAATGGTATCTAACAATAGAAAGGTATCTAAGTGTGGAATGGTATCTAACTATGGAATGGTATCATCTATAGAATGGTATCTAACAATAGAATGGTATCTAACTATGGAATGGTATCTAACAATAGAAAGGTACCTAACTATAGAATGGTATCTAACAATAGAAAGGTATCTAGCTATGGAATGGTATCTAACAATAGAGAAGTATCTAAAATCCAGCGGATAAATTAAAAATCAAAGTGATTGTTTATATCAGAGTTCAGGAACAGGTGTGCCGCAGCACACTAGTGTGCCGCTAGACCAGGGGTCACCAAACTTTTCATAACCATTCTGTGCAATAATTGCAAGTCAGATAGAAAGCTCTGGGAAAATAGACCAACGTAGTTTATTATTCGATGTTAATCATCAGTGAGTGGCGTGCCACGCACACACACACACAAACTACAACAAAAAACAAAGACAAAGACAACAAACATGTTCATTTAATGAAAAAGTAAATAGATCTGGAATAAGCAAGAACATCTAGATACAATAATTTAAAATCGAAAATCATAAATTTAAGGCGCATAGCAGCCAGGAGGTCTCCGCACATGTGAAGATCTCCTAGTATTCTAAACATAATATTGAAATTGTATCACAACGTCTAGTGTTCCATACGTTTTATCAAGAAAATTCAAGTACCGTCGGCCGGCCTGATGAATTGAGGTCGCGGGCCGGATGCGGCCCCCGGGCAGTAAATTGGTTACCCCCCTCCCCCCCCCCCCCTTTTGCGCTAGACGATAAGACGTGTGCGATTGCGATAATGCGTCCACGAGAATGATCAACTGGTGAAGGCCTCATACATTTGTTGAAACACAAGGGACAGTAGGTAACAATACGTGAAGGTTAGAGGTCAAACAGTGCAGGAAGTATGCGTGTTGAAATTTTGCGGGTCATGTAGAATCAGTTGAAGCACTCCGAGAGAAGTCAGCTGAAGCACTCCGAGAGAAGTCAGCTGAAGCACTTCGAGAGAAGTCAGTTGAAGCACTTCGAGAGAAGTCAGTTGAAGCACTCCGAGAGAAGTCAGCTGAAGCACTTTGAGAGAAGTCAGCTGAAGCACTTTGAGAGAAGTCAGTTGAAGCACTTCGAGAGAAGTCAGTTGAAGCACTCCGAGAGAAGTCAGCTGAAGCACTTTGAGAGAAGTCAGTTGAAGCACTCCGAGAGAAGTCAGTTGAAGCACTTCGAGAGAAGTCAGTTGAAGCACTCCGAGAGAAGTCAGTTGAAGCACTTTGAGAGAAGTCAGTTGAAGCACTCCGAGAGAAGTCAGTTGAAGCACTTTGAGAGAAGTCAGTTGAAGCACTTTGAGAGAAGTCAGTTGAAGCACTTTGAGAGAAGTCAGTTGAAGCACTTCGAGAGAAGTCAGTTGAAGCACTTCGAGAGAAGTCAGCTGAAGCACTCCGAGAGAAGTCAGTTGAAGCACTCCGAGAGAAGTCAGTTGAAGCACTTTGAGAGAAGTCAGCTGAAGCACTTTGAGAGAAGTCAGTTGAAGCACTTCGAGAGAAGTCAGTTGAAGCACTCCGAGAGAAGTCAGTTGAAGCACTTTGAGAGAAGTCAGTTGAAGCACTTTGAGAGAAGTCAGTTGAAGCACTTTGAGAGAAGTCAGTTGAAGCACTTCGAGAGAAGTCAGTTGAAGCACTTCGAGAGAAGTCAGTTGAAGCACTTCGAGAGAAGTCAGTTGAAGCACTTTGAGAGAAGTCAGTTGAAGCACTTTGAGAGAA